TGACGCCAAATGGTGGTGAAGACCACACATTCATTGTTTCCCATGCTGTTCACCCCATCCTCATTCAGTTCCTCTTTTCTACTGTTTGGATGTGAGAGACCCTCTTACAGGCAGATATTACATATTGTACGTTGGAGGCTGGTTTCAGGTCACCGTGGCAGATCATGCAAATCTCTCTGATTGATTTTTGTGACAGAAATACACCTCAGGAGTTGTAAAAGAACTTCATAGTGTCTTCTAGGCAGATGAACTCTGAAACTTGAGAAACTGCCGTTGTTTTGTTTTATGTGAGCTTAACTGAGATTTGTCCGCTTTGTTCTTACAAGTCCAAAAGTAGAACAACTTCTGTTTTGAATAAAATAACATGTTCTTTTCATCAGGGAAAAGAGCCTGGATCGTATTACACTGATCAGACATAATAATCATCTAGTGTTCCACTAAATGTCGTTATACAATAGCACCTCTGAGCTACAGAAAGCTGTGGAGCATTCAGACAAAGATGCTGATCACCTGGCAACAAGACTGTTTTGACTGAGGCTTCCATCAAACGGAAGAGTATTAGTGTTGCTGAGAAGCTGAGACACAAAACAGACACACATGAATGTTTAATCAGTCAAATCACTCACAATCACAACTGAGTCCAAAAATGTATCTGTATCTGAAACAAGTTAATACTGAACCACACATTTGGCTTAATGTATTGTTCATATTAATATTTTTTATTTTATCTCTATTAATATCTCTACCTATATGTTTTTTATCTACGAAAACCTTCATAAAATGTTCTCCTTTGCTCAAGTTACATTCCTCCCCGAGACATTTTCTTCGGCCTTCTCATTTTACCAGCTGCATGCCTGGGATGTGGCCAAGCTGAATTCCTGACCGCTGCTGTCTGGGCTGTCTGTATACCTGCACACAGGTAACCTTACCGAGCTGGCCCTCGACAAAAAACAGAGCTTCAAGGTGACATGATGAGTCCTCCGGCTAAGAGTCATCAGCATGTGACAGAAAACTTGTGTAAGATTAAATATCAGCTGGACCAAAACATTGACACAGCACTGAAACATTTTTTTGTTTTTCTGTTTTTGGAATCTGACCATTTTTGTGAGGAATAATGCCAGAAATTACATATAGTCAGTAAAAACCTAGATAATGAAACCATCGTCCATCACTCCATCTATCAGTTTTGTGCCATCAGGGTGGCTGGGGCTAAGTAAGGTAGCCTAGTCAAGTCCTCCAGCTGCTCCTCGGGGGGGGGGAGGTCCCGAGACATTCCCAGGTCTGCCCCGAGCTCTCACGTCCCCAGAATATATCCAAAGAGATGTCATGTGTAATCCTTGTGTTCTGGGTCTACTCCAAGTTTCCTCCCAGCTGGACATGCCTGGAGCATCCTGACATCCTGATTCACATCTTAGCTGGCTCCTGATGGAGCAGTGGTTCTTTCTGGATGTCTGAGCACGTAACCTTGTCTCAACACAGGGCTTTTAAAACAAAAGTGAAGTTAGAAATTGTAATGCTTTCTCTTGGACGGCTCTTATGCTACTATTTTATTTGCCAGGTTTTGTGGCCAAAGGTCAACTAAATTGCACATTGGACCCTTGAATTTATTCTCTAACTCTACTGATCCAGTTGCACCATGCTGAACGTCTGTAACTGACTCCTTTTAAAGGACCAACAGTTCTACTCTGTTAACAGTTCCTTCTGAATGAAAAAGAGCCTTTCCTATGACGGTTTCTGGTTTTATCCTAGTGTGTTATAGCGGGAGACAACTGGAGGCCATCAGTGAGAGAAATCACTGACTGTTCAGCTTATGTGAATCAGTACACAAGAAGAGAAATGGAAGTGAGCAAAGTAGCAACTGCTTCGTGTGTTCTAGTGTCACCTTTTGGCTGAGACAGGCAACATGAGGCGACGCAAGTTGTCTTTTGTCGCTGCTAGTCCTTTGACGTCAGTTTGGATTGTCAGGGCCTGAACAATAAAGACGGTCCCTGGTCACTTTCTCCTCTCTAAGCTGCGACAGATGGCAAGCTATCATAGGTTACACGTTGTCTGCCATGTCTGTTAAGTTATAGCAAGAGTTACTTTATTAATCCCTGATGTGGACACATTTTTTTCACTCACACAAACTCAGGTCTTGTAGATTTGAAAATGGGAGTGATGGGCTGACACATTGGAGCCCTCAGCAGAGCCCAGGAAGTGAACTGGCACCTC